CATCCCATATACCAACGAGAAAAGGGTTTCTGATGTCAAAATTCGAACAAATATTCTGCATCCGTGCAAGGAAAATGGCACCATTTCATGCCAATCCTTATAGGTCTTCACCATTTTCTGCAGGATTTTTCTGATGTTTTTATTTGCAGCTTAACGGCTTCATTCATCTTCGGATGGTATGGAGAAGAGTTGTGGTGCTCAATCTTGAAAATTTCACACAACTTTTTCATTGTCTTATTCTTCAGATTAGTCCCATTATCTATTATGATTCTACTCAAGATTCCATAACGATAGATAATCTCCTTCTTGATGAAGCGGACAATCATTTTCTTGGTTATGTTGGCGTAGGACGCAACTTTAACCCATTTGGTGAAGTAATCAATTCCAACCAAGATGAAACAATGACCGTTGGAAGCCTTAGGCTCAATTTTCCCAATCATGTCAATGCCCTACATAGAGAAAGACCAAGGTGATGATAATGCATTCAACAATGTAGGAGGTACATGCACCTTGTCGGCATAAATTTGACACTTATGGCATTTTCTGGCATATTGGATACAATCAGCCTCCATGGTTAACCAGTAATACCCAGCTCTCAAAATTTTCTTGGACATAGCGTGATCATTGGCGTGGGTGCCAAAAGATCCTTCATGAACATCTTGAATCAACATGTCTGATTCTCGTATGTTAACACGTCTAAGAAAAACCATGTCGTGATTTCTTTTGTAAAGCACATCATTGTTGAGAAAGAATTTGGACGCCAATCTCCTCAAATTCTTCTTATCAAGAGTTGTAGTATTAGCTAGATATTCCTGATTGTGTAGATAATTCCTGATATCATGGAACTAAGGCTTTCAATCAGTTTCTTCTTCCACCACTTGACAATAGGTAGGCTCGGTCTTGCGTTCAATCTGAATAAGTGGCGCTTCATTAATGAATCTGACTTTCCACATGGAGGCTAGAATAACCAAGGAATCAACTATGTGGTTTTCTATTCTTAGAGCATGACGAAAAGTGATCTCGTCAAAGTGTTGGATTAACTCCACAATGTAAGCACGGTATGGAATCAACTTCTTGTCACGGGTATCCCATTCACCTTTGACTTGATAAATCACCAAGGTTGAATCTTAACCGACTTCCACAATTTTGATTCGGAGATCAATGGCTACTTCAATGCCTAGGATGCACGCCTCATATTCGGAGATACTGTTAGTGCATTCAAAACAAAGTATTGTTGTAAATGGGGTATATCCGCCATTATGATTCATCAGAACAACTCCTACACCATGTCCACTATAATTGGAGGAACTATCAACCATCATCTTCCAACTGGAACCCGGTTCGGGACCTTCATCAGGACCTGGCTCTACATTGTCCTTCACCACCATGATGTTTTCATTTGGAAAGTCAAACTTGAGAGATTCATAATCTTCAATAGGCTAACCCGCAAGGTAATCTAACAAGATACTCCCTTTGATAGATTTTTGGGTGACGTATTGGATGTCTTATTCGGATAATAAAATATGCCAACAGACAAGTCTCCCAGTCTGAGCAGGCTTCTCAAAAATATACTTTATTGGATCCATTTCCAAATCAACAAAGTAGTGTGACATATAAAATATTGCCTCAATCGCTTAGCAGCCCATGCTAAAGCACAACAAGTCTTCTCTAAAAGTGAATATCGACTTTCACAATTAGTGAATTTCTTGCTTAAGTAATAAATGATGTGTTCCTTACGTCCAATCTCATCGTGTTGGCCCAACACGCAACCCATAAATCTTTCTAGTACAGTCAAATACATGAAGAGTGGCTTCCTTGGGACAGGTGGAATCAATATAGGAGGTTATTATAGATAATCCTTAATCTTATCAAAAGCATGCTGGCAATAAGAATTCCAGTCAATGGCCTGGTCCTTGTGAAGCAACTTGAAAATAGGTTCGCACGTGAATGTCATATTGGAAATAAACCTGTAAATGTAATTTAGGCATCCAAGAAAGCCTCTGACTTGTTTCTCAGTTTGTGGAGCTGTATTTCTTGGGTAGCTCGGACTTTATTAGGGTCTACCTTGATTCCTCGTTGAATAACGATAAAACCAAGTAGTTTTCCAGATCTAGCACCATAGGTACACTTAGTAGGATTTAGCCTCAACCGGTACTTTCTGATTTGTTCAAACAGTTTCAATAGATGATCCAAGTGGCCCTCTTTGCTTTGAGACTTGACATTCGTATCGTCAACGTACACCTTAATCTCATTATGCATCATGTCGTGAAAAAGAGTGACCATTTCCCTTTGATAGGTGGCCCCTACATTCTTCAGACCAAAGGGCATAACCTTATAACAATAGATTCCCCAAAGAGTGATAAACGTAGTCTTTCCATATCATCAGGATCTATCTTAATCTGGTTATAACTAAAGAAGCCATCCATGAATGAGAAATATGTGAAGAAGTACTAATTTAATCACTAGATTAGGTTCAATTTAAATGTTATGATGTAGAGTAAGTTAAAAAAATTTAATGTTGGAGTAAGTTGATCCCCACTCTTTTATATATATATATATATATATATATATATATATATATATATATATATATATATATATATATATATATATATATATATATATATATATATATATATATATATATATATATATATATATATATATATATATATATATATATATATATATATATATATATATATATATATATATATATATATATATATATATATATATATATATATATATATATATATATAACTTACTCCAGAATCATAGGTTTAAAATTAAATTTAGTCGAATGGTTATAAGTAGGGCTGAAAATGAGTCGAGCCAAATCGAACTTACCTTAACTCAGCTCGACTCGTTAAAAATTGGTTCACCTTAAATCTCGGTTCGAATTCGACACAAACTTTTTTTAAGCTTAAACTCGACTCGTGACTATTCGAATCATCTTGTTAGGTTCAACTCACTTGCTTCACGGGTTTAAAAAGCCATTTTCTAAGTCTATTTTATTTTTATATATTTTACATTTTAAATTAATATTTTTTTTAAAAAAAATATTGAAATAAAATAAAAGTTATGAGTATGAAATTTAATTTTGTTTTAAAAATATGCTAATTCAAAAATTATACAATTTTCAAGAGACGCAGTTAAAAGTTTAATTAAAAAAACACTCAATTGAAGTTTAAATTTATCTCAAAAATCCATAAATTCTTTAATTATTTAGGAAACTTATAAATTTAATGAAATAGTATCCAAAAGATTATTAGAAATTGATATATTTTTATTGATTACACCCCTTGCAACCTTTATTACGCATGTTATTTTAACAAATACAATTATGTCTCAAACAAGGATGACTCTGAGTGCAATTGACAACTTTATTGTCATAACTAGTACGCAAGAGACAATATAGGATTGAAATTTGAAGTAAATATCTAAAACTAATCTTAAAAATAATATAATCATTCTCATATATAATCGAGTTGACTCATTAATCTAACGAATCGAGTTATGTATAGTTCAAATTTCAGCTCATTTAGTTAATGAATAGTTTTTCGCTCGTATTTATCTCATTTGGTTCATGAACCTAGTTCAACGATTTAATTGTTAAATCGAGTTCTGAACTATCTTTGAGTTGGTTCGGTTCATTGTCAGTCCTAATTATAAGTAAAAATGTTAATTTAACCACTATATTAGATTCAATTTAAAGATTATGATAGGAAGTAAATTATATATATATATATATATATATATATATATATATATATATATATATATATATATATATATATATATATATATATATATATATATATATATATATATATATATATATATATATATATATATATATATATATATATATATATATATATATATATATATATATATATATATATATATGATAATTTATCTAAAATTAGCTAATTTATTTATATTTTATTAAACTTATTTTTTGTTAAAAAAAGTCCGTTTATAATTTAATTAAAATTTTATTTTATTACTAAATAGTATTTAAGTAAGATGAAAAGAGTCTCTTTTAATTAAACAGATTTTCTAAATTTAAATTTCAACCGAAATTCTAAATTCAATTCCGAGAATGTCCAGAAGATTACTCTTATACTAATTTCTCTTATATTTTTCCAAAACAAGTTTAAATGTATAACATTTATTACACAAACACACAATACGTGTAATGTTGATTGAATTTTAAATGTATCATAATAACAATTAAGTCTATTTTTTTTACTTTAGGAAAACAAATCCAAATATAACAAAGTAAGAAAAAATAATAACACCAATGGCAAATTAATTAAAGGTATTAATTTGTAATTATATTTAAAATAAAAAAAATAAATTTTCTGTTGTTTTAAGTGGTTGGTTTTGTTTGTTAGAGACCAAATGTAAGAAAATAAGTACTAATGTTGGAGTATATAAGTTGAAGCCTAACCTTACTATCTGACCCTATTGTGTGTGTTAGAGTTAAATAAATACTAATACTCCTATCATAACAAACAACTTGAGAGTTTTTCTGTTTGTTTTTGTGTTTTCTGTTCAGAATCAGAATCCGACACACCATTGTGTGTAACCTCTCTCTTATTGTCTTAAAACAATTTCCTAAGCTTCTTGTTTCCGACATTGATTTTGAGGCAAAACACCTCCACTCACACGCCCAAATTTTCTTCTTTTTCGATTCTCTTTCTCTCTCTACATTGTCTTCTTCTTGTTCTTCATTTTCTGCATTGTTTAACAGAGAGAGAATCATCAATTTGTTGTGTTGTGTCTGGTTTGATCATCAAACCTGTTCTGTCTTTTTCTGTTTGAGTAACCACATCAAAATCAGAACTAGAGAGAGAAATTCAACCCAAAAACAAAGCCGTATTCTAAGGCTTGTTTTTTTTATAATTGTACTTTCTCTCATTCTACTTTTTATTAGTTTGGTTCTCTTGTTGTTAATTCAGAAACAAAAGCTATATGAAGTTGAACCAACAATGAGAGATGACAACTTGAAGAAAAGCAAGGTTTGTATTGTAACATTGTTTACTATGTTGTTGTTCTGTTTTGTTCTGGCATTGCTTACTATGTTGTTGTTGTTGTTGTTGAAGCTTTCATGGCCGAAAACTCTCGTCAAGAAATGGTTCAATATTAAGAGTAAAGCTGAAGACTTTCAAGCAGATGATGTTCTTTATGGAGGTGATTAGATTAGTTCCTCAATTTCAAATCTGAGTTTTGGTTCAAAACAAAACCAAATTTCACTTGCTTCAATGAGTCTTCATCTCGAAACCCGAGATCCACAGCTTGTTGTTGGTGTTGTTTGAATTCTAGCTTTACTTTTCTTTTTACCAATTTTATGTTTTGTTTAGTTTGATGAATTCAACAGTGGAAAAACCACAGCTTTATTCACTTTATGGTTTATCTTTTTCAGGTGTTGATGAAGAGTGGAGGAACAACTACTGTTCAAAGAGGGAAGAATGCACTATCAAGAAAAGCAAAACAGGTTCAGTGTTCAAACATACTTTGCTCTTTCTTAGGACCACACCATTCTTAAACCCCACTCTCATAAACACAAAATTTAATTTTGTGACCAGTAATCATATACTGTTTCATAAATCTTGTGTCTTTTTTTTTTTTTTTTTCACTTTGTATACCAATTCAGAAAACTAATTTATAATATTTAAATATACAGAAAGAACAAAGAGAAGGCATTCAGAAAGATCGCGGCGATGTAAGGGCGATCACGATGCAGGTCATGTTACAGATGTGAATAACTATAGGTATGCATGATTCGTTTTGCGTAGTTGTTGTTATGAAATTTCGGTTAATTTGTTATCATATTTAGTTTTTATCTCTTCTTCTGTATGCAGAATATTTGTTGCAACTTGGAATGTAGCCGGAAGATCTCCTCCGAGTAATTTGAACCTTGAAGATTGGCTTCATACTTCTCCTCCCGCCGATATATATGTTCTTGGGTAAGTTTCTGATTATTTAATTTGCAATGTGTGTGTAATAATTGCTGTAATCTGAAATGGTTTGCGTTATATTTCGCTCAGGTTTCAAGAAATTGTACCTCTCAATGCTGGAAATGTTTTAGGGACAGAAGACAACGGTCCGGCTAGAAAATGGCTAGCTCTTATTCGAAAAACACTTAACAGTCTTCCCGGAACAAGTGGTGAATGCCACACTAATTCACCGCTGCCTGATCCTGTTGTAGAGTTAGATTCTGATTTTGAAGGATCTATGAGGCAGAAGGAAACCTCTTTCTTCCATCGCAGGTCGTTCCAATCCTCGAGTCGTAGTATGAGAATGGAAAATGACATGTTAGTACCCCAAGCGTGCCTTGATCGCCGTTTCAGTGTGTGTGATAGAATGATATTTGGTCATAGTACAGGTGACTATGAGCCCAATTATAGATGGGGTTCCTCGGACGACGAAAACGGGGAATCTCCGGTTGTAGTGCAGTATTCACCAATGTCGTATAGAGGCTGTGCCTCTACGGAGGATAGAGATAGACAGACAGAGAGCTCGAGATATTGTTTGGTTGCTAGTAAGCAAATGGTTGGGATATTTCTAACTGTTTGGGTGAAAAGCAATATAAGAGACGATGTTCGCAACATGAAAGTGTCTTGCGTTGGCCGAGGGTTAATGGGATATCTCGGAAACAAGGTAAATTTTATCAAATTCTTTTCATAACATAGTTCGTAACGAACTCCGAGGAGGTATGATCTCATTCGTTCTCTTGCGCTTTTCAGGGTTCGATATCAATTAGCATGTCTTTGCACAAAACAAGCTTTTGCTTCATATGTAGTCATTTGACCTCGGGACAAAAGGAGGGTGACGAGCTAAGGAGAAATTCAGATGTAATGGAGATTCTCAGAAAGACAAGGTTTCCACGAGTAAATGGAATTGGCGACGAGAGTTCTCCTCAGACTATTCTCGATCACGAGTAAGCCTTTCAATACTTTCTTAAAATTTTTCCATTCCTCTAATGCTTGGAGATTTCGAAACTAAATAGAGCTCTTGGTTTAATCGGTGTAGTCGAATAATTTGGCTCGGGGATTTAAACTATCGGATAGCCCTTACTTATCGTGCAGCAAAAGCTCTTGTTGAGATGCATAACTGGAAGGTATTGTTAGAGAATGACCAGGTATGATAATTTATACTCTTACAATATGCTATCGCTTCGCTTCTTGTCTCGAAGTATCTGTAATATCTGCATTGTTTGTTTTTCTACTCAGCTGCATATAGAGCGTGAACAAGGTCGCGTCTTTGAAGGATGGAGTGAAGGGCAAATATACTTCCCCCCGACATACAAATATTCAAACAATTCGGATAGATACGCAGGCGACGAAAGGCAATCAAAACAAAAGAGAAGAACGCCAGCCTGGTGTGATCGGATCTTATGGCACGGTAGAGGCCTCCGTCAACTATCTTATGTTCGCGGGGAGTCAAGATTCTCCGATCATAGACCAGTTTGTAGCGTGTTCTTAGCAGAAGTCGAGTCTGTTAGCCGTAACCGAATCAAAAAATGCTCTAGTTGCACCAGTTCAAGGATCGAAGTAGAAGAGTTGTTGCCTCACTCACATTCCTACAATTACATCAATTTGCCTTTCTATTGATAAATGCTGCAATATTTTTTTCTGTCATACTCATACCAACTCGATTAATCAGACAAACCGATGTACAAACAAAGTCTAACATACAAGGTAATTCATAATTTCAGTCTAGTCGACTCAAATTACAAAAATTCATGCAAAATTTCTCGAATAGATGTTTCTACAATCCAATTACTATTGGTTGAAACTCTTGCATGTCTTATTCTTATCCTTGTTTTGGTCCCCCTCTCTTGTAGGTGGTCACTGCTATAAAGAATGCTAGCTAGCCCCGTCGGTGATATAGACATTCTGTTATTCTTACCGTCTCAGAGAAGGTTTTTCCTTTGTCTTCTCTCATTTTCTCAACATCTTCCTAAAAACATCTGTCTAAAACTCTTCATATCTCTTTGATGCAGCTGCAGAATTTGTTTTTGCCTAAAATCACTAACACCCGATCTTTCGCGGATAACTATCTTTTTGGCAGTTTCTTTTATCAACACAAATAGCATCTCAATTCTTCATTAAATAAGGTAATGTAATTGTCATATATATTTAGTCAAGTAGTCTAGTAGCTGAAATTTCACCGTCTAATGTCTCTGAACAACTATCATCTGAGATGGCTTAACTGAATGTAATTTAAACACATTAAATTTTGCATGCAGACTTGCATAATTAACTTAATGACTCTTTGATCTTTTTGCAGAAACATAAAAAAGAGAACAAATGCTGTGAAGTGTGTGCACATTGCTTGGTTTTGGAGGATATGAAGCTTCTTTTTTCTTATGGAAGCTAATGAGAACTATATTTAAAGTGAATTAGTAAATTTTATAATATTATTTTCAACATTTTTTTTGTATTTTTTTTCTGAATAAGATGAAAGTTGCAATCAAAAGGAAAGAACGGAATGAGCAAAGCATACATTGCTTTATTGGCTTTTATCAGATAGTAATTATTTGTACCAAATTCCAAATTATTACCCTTTTTTCTTTTGAATTTTCTTTTACTTTTTCATTCTGATTCTGGTATGATTCTTTAGGTAACGTCAATACCTTTTTCTATCAATCTTTTTACTGAATATAAATTTGGTGAATTCAACCCATGCTTAATAAATATTTAATTGGTTTTCTTTTTTGATTGAATCATAAAGTTTGGAATGTTTAGTGTTCTAATTTGGATAAATTATCCTAATAAAGAATGATTATAGCAAGTGCAATATAAAGAAAGAGACGTACTTAATGCTTTGCTCATCAAGTTATGATGATAACTTTCAAAGAATAAATAGTCAGACCAATAATTATGGCTCTCATTTAAGTTGTCAAATCTATCTGTACCATCAAAGTATGCAACCTCTTTATTACTCCCTCCTTACAAGAATATAAAATATATTAATTTTTTATATTTGTATACTTTATTATTTATTACTCAATTTTCTCTCTAATTTTTATTTTATCTTTTCCACTCAATTAATGGAATTTTTTACTCAAATAACTTAATTTTCCAAAAATATTTTTAAAATAATTGATCTTTCAACAATTTTTCCAAACTAACTCACTTTTAAATAAAAAAAAATTGAAATGTAATGGTGGTGTCAGATTAATTGACGAATGCACGTAAATTTACAAATTGCATGTTGTCAATTTAATTATAGCTAGTTTGCATATTTTCAATGGGGATGCAGGTGGTATTGTGTTTTTTTAAATAAAAACAATAGATTATGTCAAAAAAATTAAATAATATTTAATTTAAATTACGTTTAGATTCAAAAACAAAATTAGCACTAACGAGGAAGATTGGGTAGGTCATACTAGCCACCGGTTATAAACCCCTAGCTACTGTAACTCGTTGCCCTCATTGTGGATTCACCTAAGGTGTTTGAGAATTTGAGGTCTTAGAATGTTGGCGATGGTATGAGGTGTGTTCTTGGTATTGTGGTTAGGTGTCTGATATGTTTTGGTTGTGGGTTTGTGTGTTTTTGGGACGCTAATTTTGTTGGGTAGTGGGTTGTGAGTAAATGGTTTGGTAATTTTGTGGGGCGTTAGACGTTAAAGCTTCTTGTATGTAAGAGATTTAACATGGGTCATATAGATACCTATCTTAAGAGACAAACCCAGTTGAAACTGATTTGTACCAAGTCATATAATTATTAGTTGGTTTAGTTTCGGTTGGCATCACAGCATCACGTAAGACATGTTTACGGCAGTGTCTCCGTTTACGACACTCATATTTAGCGAAGTCTTTCCAAATTTCAAAGGCTTATTGTTCATTAATTTTGTGTTGATGCTATTATGTGAGGCACATCGGAGGATTTGGAGTTTGTTGACGCATGTCGAAGTGCAGTTTCACTCGGTCACTATGGTGCATCTTCACAATGATTAACCTGATGATCAATGTGTATGAAGTTCAAACGGCTCCATCTTCTTCTCCGATTTCATGATGATGTTCCAAGTCTAAATATAGACGCCAAATAAATTGTTGTGGAAAAATATATTATATTATAAAATGGATAATATTAAATATAAGTTGTTATTAATTTATTAGTTTAGTGGCAATGCATCGTCTAGTCTAAGGCGATCCAAGAGATTGCGATATTGAGTGATACATTATCTAAAACACATGTTGTAAGTCATGTCACAAGCCAACCATCTAAACCAAAAAAAAGTTAAGATAAACTTTTTAGAAACAATAATGGGTAAATTGGAAATAATGTTGTTAACTTATTTTTGTGTGTACACGAATGTGAAGCTTTTGTAGTTGATGGGCACTAAGGACGACAATATTTAGGCCAACCCCTTATTTGGAACAAAACAACACGTCCATAAAATGCATATGTGCCTTTCTTTGCATTTTTATATAAAACAACTATACAAATAAGAAAAACAAGCGGAACCCCAACTATATGTTCTTTTTTTTATGTAAGTGTATTAATAAGGGTAAAATACATAACATGTGTACTAAAACCACTACCTTCGGGAAATAATAATGAACCAATGAAAAGCTTAATATACCACCTAGTTTTTATTATTTTCTTTTCTTCGGTAGAATATTCATCTAATGTTAAACTCTCGTAATGTGTCTTAGGACGTGAAAGTTGGCACACAAAAGATCCCTGCAAATTGAATTTGCAAAGTTGGTTTTTCCATTGACGACCTTACCCTCAATAGGAAGCCCTAGTAACATGTACACTTCATATAACGTTGAAGTACATTTACCGGTTGGAAAAAATAAAGTGTGTGTCTCGGGTCACCATTTTTCTTGTAAAACTATTATAAACTTAACATCGCCCGAGTAAGACATGATTTTGCTAACATGCCAGAAACCAGTGAGCTCAATATAAGGTTCAATCAACATGTCGGGGGCAACATATTTGTGGACACGAGTACGAAACTTAGATGGATCTTACAAAAAAAAACTAGTTTTTTTATAAAAATAATGTGTTTGAAAATATATAGCCTATAGTAGCGAAATAAACACTTACATAAGTCTTAATGTTGGCGATTGTTCCTATGTGCATTTCACCCGTAGTAAATAGAGTCATTTTACAAGTGAGAAGTGAGAGTAATGTTTATTGTTAATTCAATATGGGAGAGTAGTATTTGTTATTGATGATGAAAATAATTCGAGTTAGGTCTTATTTATAGAGAAATGTTGAATAGTGAGAGAGAGAGAGAGAGAGAGAGAGAGAGAGAGAGAGAGAGAGAGAGAGTACATTTTGCATTCACACGCAAAGTCAATTGGAAACTTCATTCAAAATGAAGTGTTATAGCCAATAAGATTGGTGCCTATGTAGCCTTTTTAGGAGTTCTGGTTGCGTAGGTAGCATATAGACTAGGCCTGCAGGATTCACATGCATGCATGTAGGTTACGTAGGTTTGCAGGTTGCAGAATTCCCATGCACAGTCAATGTTAGTGCCCTTTAGACTGGCGACTATATTGAATTTCCAATGCTAGATCGAATTGAGGTGGCGCGTGTGTTGAAAGTACAAGTTCAAATCATTTTAAAGTTGTATGCATATTAAATGTGCATGATGTTAGAACACAGATTGGTTCTTAATAATATCTCTATGTTTTGATGATAACTATTATGAAATTTTGTATTAAAGAATTATATACTCTAAAATTTGCTTAAGAATGTTTGCTGCAGATGTTAAAGTAAATATTACTCCAGAAGCAAATGAGATCTGAACATAAGAAATATGCAAGGCTCTGAAGTGTCAGAAGCATCTCTTAGAAGATTCTGAACGCTGCCTCCAAAAGATTCTGAGCGCTGCTCCCAGACGAATCTGAAGCAAGAGCTACAGAAGAATCTGAAGCAGAAGCTACAGAAGAATCTGAAACAGAAGCTCTAGAAGAATCTGAAGCAGAAGCCAGAAGCATCTGAAGCAATGAGGTATTCTGTATGAAGAGTTTCAAGCACAGTTACTTCAGAAGACTCTAATAATACTAACGCTGCCAGTACTGAGGATCAGACCCAAAACTATGCTCAGAACTTATACACGCTGAAAGCACACTTGTTGCAAAGACTCTGATTCAGCAAACTCTGATGAACATCAAAAGGCTCTGACTAATTTAGACTCTGATGATTCTTGCTAAAAATTGTTGAAGAAGAATTCAAAGTTATGTCAGTTGGAATAATCAAACGACTCTTTCCTTATTTATGCTAGACACAAGAACACAGACAAAAAGGATTTCTCTGTGCATTCTTTTTCTAGGAAAGGTCACATGATGTGAAGACAAAAAAGGCTCATACCTTTTTGGTACACTATTCTCAACATGAAAAGCTCTTGGATCACTGTGCCTATAAAAGCAAGTCTCCATTCATCTTCTTCAGTTGACGAAAACACTTGAAAAGAATTTATCACAAAGCTCTCACACAACTTAAAATCATTTACTGAATTATTTCATTGTTCTTCATCTTAAGTGAAAAATCACAGTTGTGATAAAGCTTTATTAGAAGCATTTTTTAACACTTGTATTATTACTACTTTTGATTGTAAAAGAACCTTAAGAAGATCCAGTTAGGATCA